AATCAGCCAGATAACCGCCCTGGGGCAAGACCTATGCCAACCCCACTAATTCAGGATCTTAAGTGAATGTAAGTACTCCTCTGCATCTAAGGAAATACAGTATCTTCCTTCTGCTAAGCGCATGTACCTTCTTTATTAATAGTATTTATGTGTCATGTCATGTATGTGTTATGTTAATATTTTTTTTCCTTTTTTTTTTTTTTTTTTTTTTTTTTTCTTAAATGTGTAACCAGTATGTTATGTACGTATACCTTGCAAACCTAAATCTGTAATACAATATAAATAGCCACGTATCTCTCATCTGCCCCTGTATGGCAATGTAATAAATCTTTTAAGATCTCAATAAACCTCCGGTAGATAGGGGAGGGCGCGGGACATATGCCTGTTTACCTCTGTTAAACACCAGGCGTCTCCGTGCTCCGTCACCTGTCACCTGTCACCTGCCTTGCGTTGTTTTCTTCGCGAGGTTTTCGTCCGCTATGTTTTTGCCTCCATGTTATCGGCGGACACCTCTTCAACCAAACCGCTGTCTTTAAAAATCTCCTTTCTACCTTCTATGAGATTTAAAATGAAACTTCATTTAATTTTAAAACCATCATAATTTAATTTTATATTATAATGATTATTATAACATAAAATTAAATGATTATATGTTTCATCTATAGGCTGTGTGTCATTCTGAAGGCTTAACTTATTTTTTTCCATTAATAGTTCTACCCTAAAGTTCCAGAATATTATCTAGCTTAGGTTACTAATCAAACAAATGTACGAATTATGTAACTTCACATTATAGCATTGCACATATTAAATTTCTTTTCTATAATAAATATTTTATTTATAAAATTCAAACAGGATTGGCTTCTTTATTAAATGTAAAATATATAATAGCTGAAGTGAAAAAAGGCTATGTAATTTCCAAATACACTTCATTCTTTTTATTGATTTCATAGCAAGACATCTCTATGACTGGAAATACGGTATAATTTGAAGTCCTTCGAGTAGTGCGTTCTTGCTTTTTTATTCTTTTACAGCTGCTCTCAAATTAGCTAAAAATCCTTGAGCGTTATTTGCTTTCTAAATTTTGATCACTTCTTGATTGACTGTTTAAAACACATATACGGTATTTGATAACACAACAGAATTTCTCTTTTTTAGATAAGAATATGAAATTCCTGCCTGTTGATTAGGCAGTTTATTGGAGAATAGGAACTCCTTCAAAAGTAAATTTCGAAATTACCGAAAAATCACATATTCTATTCAAAATGCTGGATAATATTGTCTTCAAACACGGAATCAGCTATGAAATAATTGGTAAAACTTCTCTTAAATGGGTCTAAACTACATAAAATAGCTTTCTCCTGCGGCATATTGGTAATGTTGAGGCATGCTGAACATGCCTGCGTCCAGGCATGTTGAGAATGTGAAGATGCAAGTTGAAGTAATGCATATTTGCTATACTATAGTACGGTGTATTGTCGAAGTCACAGTATTCCTGTACATTAGTATAACATATCACTAACAATGTTGCATATTAATTATAATATTTAAAAAATTAAGCTAATTACTAATAAAATTCTCAGACTTCAAAATAAAAGAAAACTGCCATGTTTAAAACATTGTGTTTTAGAATTTCATGACGGATAAAAAGGCATAAAATAAAACGGAATATTAATGGATATTAATATTCCGGAAACGGAATATTAATAAATTTTGGAATAGTTTTTTAATGTAAGTAATTGCAAGATATATAAAAATACTCAATAAGTATGCAGAAAATAAGCATTTTTTAAGTTTATTTATTATTTTAATACGAAATCGCTTTTTTGTTTGGTTTATCTTTTATTCCTATAACTTTCGAACATTCACGATTAATACTAAAGTATTAAATAAGAATTTAAAGAAATGAACGACTAAATTAGTTTTTGTTCTGTCATTTCAATGGAATCGCAACAATAATTTTAACGAAAATATGCACAATTTTGCTCAAAACTGAAATATTTAAAACAGTGCATCCATATTTATAAAATATTTAGAACTAACTTTCTCAGTTATTTTCCATTGAAAATATAACTATTACTCTTAATCCTGCTGGTATATTTCTTTCTCGCAGGTAAATACCTTTATTTGCTTGGCTCCATAAATGAAATGATTTTTCTTTACAATTTAACTAATATCCATTTATTAAGAATAGTGCTGCGTATCAAATTAATGTTATACTATAAGTAAATTAATATTTGGCATTTCTTAATTTATTTCCAGAAATAAAACTAGATATGTCATTTTACATAATAACTGAATTAAGCCCAGCTGAGGTAAAAAATAAAGTTTAAAAGAAAACTTCTGTGATTATATAGGGATGTATCCAGTGCATGGTTTGGAGAAAACTTAGAAGAAATCCATAAATTAGAAGAAGCTCAAAAATTTTCATGGTTTCACCGATTACATAGGTAATGAAACATACTGAATATTTTAACACAGTTTTACTAAACAGGTTTCAACTAATTTTGCTTATTTCTCAAGATATACAATACACTTGAAACCGTTACAGTAAATTCTTATAGAAAGAGCAAGGATTTTAACAAAAGTATTTAATGTCAGTAAGAAACATTATCACAAAAATAAATGCGTTGCAAATTTTAGTGCAAACAGCGTCTTTTGGACAACAATCTCAATTTATCTTCTATTGGAACAATAATAAAATGACTTTGTTTATGAATATAATGTATTTTCGTTTTTTACCCTTTAACAAAGTTCCTGCTTCTAAATTTATAATGCCTCTAAGTAATGTTAGAGATTGGTGTGTAAACCAAACTTTAATAGAAGTAGTCTAATTTAGATCCTCATCCATAATTTATATCTGCAAATCAATTAACTTAGTCAGAGAATAAAATTTAAAATGTTTAGAAGAGGGAGAAAGTCACATAACTGAATCACTGATAATTATTATTTTATAAATAAACATCAGTTCAATTTAGTAAAACTTGCAACAGAGAACATGAAAGAACAAAGCACTCTGAACCATAAATATACCGTATTAGTTTATATTCCGTTTTTAATTCTATAATCCTTGCTGAAATAAAACCGACAAATACGAAGTAAATATTTTCATTTGCACTGTAATGGTTACATACTTGGCTTTCAAATCTCTTTTAAAACCATTATACAGATTTTTGGAATATCCGGATATCTTGCGGTAGTAGTTAGTCCAGATATTTTACAGCTTTCAAACGTTTCTCTCTATATACGCATAAAAATAGTGTACAAAAATTCCAATACAATATACACTAGGGATTTTTGTGAAATAATTAGATACATAACATAAACTTCCATTAGAATACCCCACTGTTACGTTTTTGTTCAATAATACGCTGTTCGGATTATTGTACTGATATTCTTCAAAACCATATATAAATTGAAATAATCCTCATAACGAGAAAATAGTAATTCTTCAAGCACTATGTTTTTATGCCTGTACATAATTTACTACCTGCGATAGCATCTGATTAAATTTCAATGAAGGCTGGGTATACAGAGTTCGCATGATTTGCTTAAATTATGTAACTCGAAGTTTTTATAAATGTATCTGAACACTAAGCCTAAAGTGTATGGATTTTATGAACCAGTATTTAATTAAAAAGAATATACTCAGCAAATTTTTGTATACATTATAATAAATAAATAAACGTAGCAAAATACAATTAATATGATTTTTATGCTAGGAGTATTATTATACTAATAAATGACAGCATAATATTTTGATAATAATTCGTTTGTAATGTTACACATAGTTTTTCGTGTTTTTCTATGCCTATTGTAGCTTCTTATTTGCATTATTTTTTGACAGAAAAGAAAAAAATGCAAATGAACTATGCAGATAATCTAATCCCCGAATCTTGGAAACGGTTGAAGATTTGCTGAAAATGATCAAGTTCTCTAAAACAACGTTTTAAATCTAAACTTAAGGTCCTTTTTTTAGCACAAGATAACTTTTATAGCCATCCAATACAAAACGTTTAATCGAAAATGATTATCATTCTTATAATTTCAATACATTTGGATTACCAATATCAACTTGTCGGTACCTTGACCTCTACACATAATTTCTTATTTTTTTAATCCATTTAATTTTACAGTCGTTGCGATATGGAAATGTTCCAGAAAATATAAGTAACAGAATGGCTTCCTTATATGTCCTTTCATCAACTCTTATTGAGGATATATGTGGATATTCGCTCCTACAACTCAACCGCCTTTTCCTAAATCTGGCAACAGCTACAGCAGCGAGATACTTCTTCAAGCTGCATGAGGAAATGGACAGACTTCCATTCCCATGAGGTTATGACGTGTCGATGGATGTAACTGAACTATCCCGCTCGACAATGTTGCTTGATGATGTAATTCAGTTTCATGATGAATCGAACTTTTTAGACACCACTATATAACTATAAATGATGGAATACTTTGGAAACCTATGGATTAATGTCGCAAGATCCCAGTTGTTGTGATTCGTCAGCACGTACGTAGAGCTAATTTTGATGAAGTAATACTAATGAGGAAGTAATATTCTTTCGAGTTATTTGATGACGCCTTTTTATGAAGTTTATTTGAAGAAGCGAATAGCATTTGATTTTGATAAAAATTCATATTATTTTTGAATGATTATTACCTTGAAGAGTTAAAACTTCCGTTTTCGAATCGATGTTCATGACAATTAATTAAGCAGTTTTGAAGAAGTTTAATTCAATAAACTAAAGCTATTTAATTTTGATTGAAATACATTACTGACTATTTACAGAATTGTGATGTATTAAAAAAGTTACTTTGAAGAATTACTTTTCGTTTTCGAATTTGGTGAATAAATTTCTTATTTCTTGTGATGCCTATATTTTACAAGGCCTCACACATTTCCACCTGATCTTTCACAAATCTCAAAATCGGAAATTTTCCAAGAAGTTCAACATATCATTACTCCTCACAACCCACACGAATTTAACACTGCTATGGAAGATTTTCAGAAAATAACAGAAAGTGAAAATCAGTTGAAGAAAACAAGTAAGGAAAATGATGATGCAGCACATGATGATTTAGAATTGGATTTAGATGATGACAATTTGGATTTGGATGATCACGATCACAAAAGTGATGCTGATACCAATCATGGACCTCATGACAATGATGTTGATGAAGATGGTGATGACGCAGACGATGACATGGATCAAGATCATGATATTGATGATGACGACGATCATAACGCTAATGGTGCTGCTGATGATGATGATGGCACTCCTGAAGCTAATGAAGATGGTGATAATGATGTTGATTAAGATGACATTGCTGTTGTTGATGAAGATCATGTCAATGAAGATGATGTTGATGACAACGAAGATGATGATGATGACAGTCATGAAGCTAATGATGATGATGATGATGTCGATAATGATCGAAAGGTGCAGAATACTGAAGAAACTGTGAAAAATAAACTGAATCAATTTGAACAAGCATGTGCTGATCAAGCAAACGAGAAAACACCTGCTAAAAGTGCAGAAACTCCCAAAGAACAGAAAAATAATCCAAGGACACTACTTGTCTCTGGCATTTCAGTTGAAATTTTTGAGGCAATAAAGAATGCTGAAGTACTAGGACGAAAAATTACTGTTTCATACACATTATCCGCTTCGCACCCAAAGATACGCAAAAAGAGAGCCTGGAAGTATAAACGAATAAAATTTAAACGAACTTCAAAGACAATGAAATTGCTGACACTGCATGATTTTGAAAAAGCTGCATTTTGCATTGAAGTTCAACGGAAACTCCTCCGTTTTACAGCAAGCACATATACGACAGTATAAGAAACGTCGCAAACCTGCCTGCAAATACAAACTTGGACACCAAATGCCAATCCACCCTTAACTGAAACTTCTACTTGGACTGAATCTTCGACTTGAACTGAAACTTGGACTTAAACTTCGTTCCAAAATTCTTCGGTTTTTATGAGACAGTTCATCCCTCTGATTGTTACGAAGTACGAAAGATACGCCATGAAGGAACCATTATGATATCAACCTGTACTGATAAGACGAACTGGTGGTGCACAAAGCTAAACCATCATAGCGGTGCACTCACTCACTCATTCACTCGTCACCTGGACACTGATTTTTTTTCCCTTTCTCTGCTTTTTTTTTTTTTTTTTCCATTCTTTTCAGATCAACTCCCAGGCGAGGACGCCCGGCAAGACAGAATCGCCGTGGACATTCGCTCCTACAGCTCAACCACCTTTTCCTAAATCTGGCAACAGCTACAGCAGCGAGATACTTCTTCAATAACAGAAAGTGAAAATCAGTTGAAGAAAACAAGTAAGGAAAATGATGATGCAGCACATGATGATTTAGAATTGGATTTAGATGATGACAATTTGGATTTGGATGATCACGATCACAAAAGTGATGCTGATACCAATCATGGACCTCATGACAATGATGTTGATGAAGATGGTGATGACGCAGACGATGACATGGATCAAGATCATGATATTGATGATGACGACGATCATAACGCTAATGGTGCTGCTGATGATGATGATGGCACTCCTGAAGCTAATGAAGATGGTGATAATGATGTTGATTAAGATGACATTGCTGTTGTTGATGAAGATCATGTCAATGAAGATGATGTTGATGACAAGCTGCGTGAGGAAATGGACAGACTTCCATTCCCATGAGGTTATGACGTGTAACTGAACTATCCCGCTCGACAATGTTGCTTGATGATGTAATTCAGTTTCATGATGAATCGAACTTTTTATCTTACTTCCTTTCACTCTGTACATACCATAATCATGTTCATTCTTTCATCATTAAATACCTTTAAAATGCCACTGCCTTCCTCTATTTTAATCCTAACCTCATCCCACATATATGAAACCCGATATTCAAACGTTTTAAATTAGGCACTTCATTTAATTATTTTCATCTGCATTTTCGCACTAAATTTACTTGATGTAGTTATAAAAAAACAATATTTTTATTTTTATGCTTATTAACTGAAATTTAAATTTTTCTTTAATCAAGAACAATTACGAATAAGCCAAATGGGTTTTGCTATAATTTTTCGCATTATTTTCCTGCGTGGGTTAAAAAGATTTAAGAAACCTCTAAGTTTCTGATTCAGAGATGATAAAAATTTAAGACTCACACCCCACCCACCCTTCATAAAAATTTAAATGCGGTGATAATGAATATCTGTCATTATAATGAGGAATCATTTTAGAATAAATAGGCTTTTCAACAAGAAATAGTGCTACTATGTTTCTAAACTTATGATTGAAAAGAAACTCACAACTAAAATCTGTTATTACTCTTCTTCAACAAAAAGGCAAATCACAGATCAGAGTATAAACAGAAATCGCATGTGAAGATTTCAAATCAGTAAACTCGTGTTTTTAAGCACCGAGGTTCTGACAAGGAACTCAATTTTAACGGAAGGTTTAGTGGCCAAATCCAAATCGTGACTGGAATTCATAAGTTGGCATATGAAAGAAAATTCTGAACTCCAGTCACGATGTCTTAGATCGGTAGGGCTCAGCTGCAGGGCTTCAAATTGAAAAGTGTTTAGAAGTTGGCGCTTGTTATGAAAAGTCGAATCTTCTACAGGTTTTAAGAACCTCGCAAAGTTTACGATTGCAGATTAAATCGAGCACTGATGCAGAATGTTCTTGAAGAAGAAAACATGCATTTTCGCAGAGACATATGGCAGCAACATAAAGCTACCAAGAATTAATATTGATAAAGTGGGTTTCTGCTTTCAAATAAAGAATGCGGTTTTAAGAATATAATCTCGATTTACCAACAAAAAAGATCGAAATTTCATTAAAGTAATTTGTTTAACTTATCTTAAAGCATAGCAAAAAAACTAATAGTAGCTTAGATGAAATGCACCAAATTAGAACATTCCAATATCATCTTTTCATGGCCACTCATCACAAATATGTATGCGATTTTCAGACTAATGTTTCATTAGAAATTCTAATTCATGACAAAATATGTGTTTCATTTCTCTTCACGTGATCTGAAACTCTACTTGACACTCAACAGTACAGCTACAATATTTTTCTTTGCTCTAAGGTATTGTTACGTTATTTTCTGACACCAGTTGTTACGTTATTTTTTTCCTTCAAGTTCGTACAGGGTTCGTGTGGATTTGGAGTGAATAACGGCGACACTTGATGAAGTATCGAAACACACTTTATTTACCAATATTAATCAGGACAGCTCCAAAATCACGTTTACAGCCGTCGAAGAATTACTATAAACACGCTGACACAATCAGCCACAAAGCCTACAGGTTATCAGACTATAACGGTGGATACAGCTTCACTGCAAAGCATCCAGAGTACAGCCCCCGAATCTGCTCGGTCGTTCTCGGAATTCCACTTACCCTTGAGAATCTCCACGCTACAACTCGCGATGCACTCGACCACACACAGAACACAGCTCCCGATTCTTCCGCTCAGTCGTTCCCAGAGCTCAACACACTCTTTCGACGATGCACTAACCGCGATACACTAAGAGATTCTTTCGGTGCACTTGACTACCCACTCGGCACTCGCTGACCGACTGTCAACTCGATGGACTCTCTAACTCCGCACAGACTGACTGACTCTCCGCTTATCAGCAGGGTTTATATAGCGTTTGGCTTGTGTTCTGGGCTAAACCAAAAAGAATTCGTTCCAGAAGGTTCCTAGTGTATATCGCCAATTTTGTCACTAAATGTGGCAACCCTGCCTTCCTTTGCCATTTTCTGGCAATCCTAAATCTGCTTTGCGGGGAAACTATCTTATCTGTGTGTTTCGTAACAGTATTTTGTGGACATCACTGAAACATCGGTATTTTGTAGCGGTCCCTTCTTGCTCTCAGAAAAAAATGGTGTTTTTAACGCTTGGGCTATATTGTACTTCGCTCTCCTTCTGAGCATCATCTTTCCTGCTTCGAATTAACCTAATGTCTCTACAAGGCTAGGAATGAAACTTTAATCCAATCATTAAAAGACTCATCTATATACAAAAGTCCGTAGTTCAAACCTATGCAACAGAATCTACGGCACTTCCAAATCTGATCGATATATGCCGCCTATATGTAATCTTTCATGAATGTTTACAGACTGCAGTGTTTTAATTTTTAAATATATAAAGAAAAACAGTTCGAGTACAGCAAATATGTAATTCAGTTTATAATATATATATTGCTTTATTGAGATAGTTAAGACAGAAAAATTGTGAGAAAGATGGAAAATGAAAATTTTCTTTTATTTTCACTATGCTAATTTAATCACAGATTTCGCTGTCATTCATCATACATAACAGAAAACTTTATTTTCTGTTTTTAAACAACTTAGCTTCTCTGCGGCTCAGAAAATTTTATTTTTCAAGCTGCATAGAACAGACAGAGTAGAACCATCACGATTTTTAATTAAGAAATAAAATTCCCTTGATATAATACACTCACTTCCAAAATGTAAGCACGAAGATGTAAAATGCAAAAAAATCAACAAATACTGCTTTGATTGACACAAAATTCGGCAGGAAAATAGCATATATATTTATGTAAAAACAAAATCAATAATTACATAAAGAAATGAAAACATTAAGCAATCGCCGTTCTTCTTGTAAAGCAATTTCCAGCTCAAGAAGAGTGGCTGGAGGTGGGAAACGTGAAGATACAGCACGGCCGAGAGCATCCCAAAGATTTTTAATGGGGTTAAGGTCGAAAATGCTGGTCACGCCATACGCGCAATCCCTTCACTCTCCAGGTAGTCATCGACGATGTCTGCTCTATGGGGACGTGCGTTATCGTTCATTAAAACAAAAGTAGGGCCAACTGTTGCAGCTTACAATCTCGCTATGGGTTGATTTATCGGACAACAGTTATCGGGATACCTGATATTGAAGCAAAGAAATTAATGTGAAGAAAGAAGGAACTTATGGCTTGAAACTGACATTTTGAATTTGTTTCATTAACAGTGAAACACTACTCCTTCCACCAGTTATTTGAATAATCTTTAAAATCCTTCCTAACACTGTAATGTGTTAGAGATTAGACTAAGAGTTAGGTATTGAACTTAGAGCTTTCGTTCTCTCAGTATTAGATATTATTTAATGAAATTTAGAAAATGGTGTTTACCTAGCAGTATGAATCGAAAGCATATTTGGGTATAAGCCAATTTATAAGCCACCATAAATTATTACTGGATCCATTATAAATTTATCCATCTCCCAGTGTAATGATTAAAGTGTTCCAAGGAGAGTGATAGTAATCATAAAAATTAATTTCTTTACTCTTTTCACAAAAACACATGCTTTTCTTATTTATTAACCCGGTACCATTAATATAACGCCTTCCAGGCAGGAAATGGCGTGCAAGAAGCGCCACCTGGTGTTCGTATTACGCATCGGCATTCAGTTTCTGCCCCGAAGAGTGTGGACAATGTGCTAAGTTCTTACTTTCGTAGCGTTGTTCAACTCAGAAACGTGTGCTGACTTCTTAACGAATGCCCATTGTCCGTCTTTCAACTCAAGTCACGTCTGAAGCGGAACCCGGAGTACCAAGCAATAGAAATTATGTCCCCCAGTAGTCATTTTTAATTCTTTAATGGCCTCATCTGAGGTTTAATATGGCTGCTTTAGTGTTCAAGAATTAAAAATTTGTCTCCTTGAGGAAGGCATTTATTATGTACTCTATGTAATAAAATGCAGCCGAGATATAAATAAACAGTACCAAAAGAGCCTTCTTAAAGAAGGCAGGTATTACATGCTGTATACAATAATAAAAAAAAAATAATTAAAAATGGAAAAGTGAAATATATTTATTACAAAGCAATTCTTCTCCAGTCCCGGCGAGGTCACTGCTTATTTTTCACGTCTCCTGCTTCAAAATAAACTAATGCCACTACAGTGGCGCTCGAACTAAAAAAGGTGGTGGATGATGATTCTCCATCACCAGATTAGGCGATTGGGTCCCCTAATCCACAGTTGCCCTTTAAAAGGGGGAGTATATAAGATATTTCTCCCGCCTTCTTATCATGTCTTCGTGGTGTAAGAGTTAGCACACTCGGCGCATATTCGAGAAGCTCGAGATTCGAGTCTCGGCGAGGGCGTTGCTCATTTTTTCATTACTCCTGCTTGAAAAATACTTAATATCTCTACAAGCAAAGTGGCGTTTGAGATTGTTTGATAAAGATATTTAGTTAGTTTATAAAGACCCTTCAAATGATATGAAATAACTAAATACAAGTCATTTAGAGCCTTAAGTATATTCTCAGGATTTGGGATTCCCTTCAACTTGTTGCTGTAAATATGTCGATAGAAATCTTGGCTATCATTGGACGAGATTAATTGATTTGATTTACTTTCCATATCCTTACTTTTCACATTCATTTAAAACATTCTTCCACTCTTGCTCCTAGCACTCACACGATTCTTATGCGTGATGTATTACCGTTGTTGTCTTGCTCATAACGTTTTTAATTTACAGTAATAAGGGCCTCAAAACATACAAATGGGGAAGCTATTAGTGAAGCATGAAAGCTATTTGTATGTCATTAATAATAAGAAAATAAATGCTTTTCATTTAT